GAAAAAGAATAGAAAGAGAAAAAAGAACAAATTTAATGAAATTTACCATTAAGAACGTGAATGTGAACTACGGTCGTGCTGAATTGTCCAACGGAACAGGCATACTCTCCACTGTCAGTCTTTTTTGCTCGTTCAATATGAAGCTTCGTTATCACTTCCTCGTTCGACCTGAAAAAATCCATTTCTCCGAATATTTCTATCGTATAAAGATACTGGCTATATTATATCGTCACGAACGTCGAACGTTATACCCTTGTCGAAGCAATCGAGATGATTGTACGACTATTCTCGATCACTTTAAAACGATATTACTATGAATTCCTGTACAACGGTATTTTATATATATATATATGTGTGTGTGTGTGTGTACATGTGTCAGAAAGATTCACGAAACTTGATCAATTCACATATTTAATATCAGATAGATTTAATATTTTCTTTTACTAACTTTGAACATACATCACACACACACACACACACACACACACACACACATGTATAAACTTTTGTTATATCCAATCTTAAATTAAATTAACATTGTATTTGAATTGTTTAAATTTATAATTCAAATATCACAACGGATTATTCCTTACGTTTACTGTTAGATATATTTAATTTAAATAATATGTTAATCTAAAGATAAAATTCTTAAACCATAAAAAGATTAAAACAATGTGTTCTAATATTTTTTACCTGTTCTCTACAAGGTTTAAATATCTTTTTTGAAATGAAAAGTGAAAACTTCTTTAATTCTTTAGAATGGGGGTGGTTTGAAAAAATGTAAAATAGGCTCACTCCACCGCCCCAGGTTAAGGAAAAAAAGAAAACAAAAAATTGATACTGTGCATTGGTTTCATTCTCTTGAAAATTTGTTTGTTAAAGGTTTTATTTCTAACCATAGAGATATTACAGATGGAGGAAACAAACCATAGGCGGTTGTGTAAGTGGAAACGGCTTTGCATGAATATAGCAGCAAAAAACGAAAGGTTGATGTTGTCTCTCTCTAACTGATGCGGTACACATATATGTATATACAAGAAAGAACAAAAGACTCGCAAGTTAGAGAGAGACAACATCAATCTCCTATCTTCCATCTCTTTTTATTTCGCCGATAGGTTTTATGCTGGCTTGTTTGCTCTATGTGTAGTATCTTTATGCTTCTAACACGTGTGATCTACACACATGATTTTTTTTTTTTTAATTGATAGAATGATAGTGTTTTATTTTAATGATCTATACGATTAATTATACTGACCCATTAATGTAATGAACATTTACACGATCAGGCAAATTTTCACCATTTTTCCTCCATACCGGATGCGGTACTTTTGAGTCTGGACAAGATGGTCTTACGACGCATAAAAGTTCAATTCCACTTCCAGTTTTATAATAACGATCGTGTAACTCGTGTCTAGCCTCATCGACGATTCTTATATCAGGAGCTGTAAAAAATATTGATTGATTGTATATGTTCYCCTCTTTCTAACACTTTTTAAATTATTCGACAGTTCTATATATACATTTGCCGTATAATAAAATTCAATATTTTTAAACGTTCGAGCAAAAAAGAGAATTGCGAGGATTCGAAGAACATTTTCGACAGTTCATTAACGTTAAAGCTATTTTATTTTAAACTATCCCCTAATGAGATATAAATTTTATTTTTTTCTTAATCGATTTATAAAAAAAAAAAAGGAATAGAATTGAAAGAAAGATTAATAATTTTTCGACGTATTGGTATTTCAGTCAGTGTTTTTTTTTTCTTTTGGGTATTTAAAAGGAAAAAAGTGGGCTATTAAAAATATCAAAATTATTCAGTAGACATTGAATAACGAATGCTAAAACTTCTAAAAAAAAAAAAAAAAAAAAAAACGTAAAAGCAGAAAGTGATGTACAAAAAGATTCCTATGTTTAGATAACAATTTTTTTAAATTTTCAATGCATCATTCAGTTGATTGTATTGATTTATGAATTATAAAACAATATTTTGGATGATATAATATAAACCTTATACTATATAGGGTGGTTCAATTTATCGAGATTTTCCATAAACAAACACTTAACTTGATATCGATCGAATAAAAAGTAAAATGATCTGAAATAAAAATTGTAGTAACAGCATTGTGCTTTAATTGAACACTAAATTTATCCGATGTCAAAGTGAAGAAAGAATGATTGATATATTGTATACATGCTATAAGTTAAAAGGGATTCCCTTTGGCAAAACTATAAGGTATTTTAGCGACAAACGATCCCATGGTTCCTCTTTTCTTCAGCTTATTCAACTTACAACTCAAAATCGATGAAAAATGAATGATCGATCGACTTCGTGTATTTATATCTTGCATATGTGTATGTGTGTATATACGAGCACACACGAGATTACATTGTCTCTTATCCCTTGAAATTTCTTTTCTATTTTATCTCACAGAAACGTTTTAGAAAGCTTTATATTATATAATAAATCCTTCATTTCTCATTTCCTTATAACATATTTAAAAAGTCGTTAGTATAACCATTATACTATACAACCTGCGCTACGATAAAAGGATTTATTTAACATCCCTATCATTCTATTCTTTTCTATTTTTTTTTTTTTTCGTATTAAATTATCGGCTCTGTTGATTCTCAAATAGGACTAAAAAAAAAAGATATGGAACTTGGAATTTAATAATTCAAAGAAATCCTTGTCTCACAGATTATGTCAGTAATCAGGTATTTCATTCAGTGAACACTTTGAAGAACGATAGTGAAAAAAAAAAGAGAAGACAGATAAAAAGAAAAAATCTTATAAAATACTAAACAGGAATTGGTAGGAGTAAATTTAAAATTCTGGTAAGTTTTGTAAGAAAAACAAAAGATAAAAGAATAAAAGCTGGCAGAAAAAGTTTCCATGTCACTTAAAACGAATTAAACGGGAAAAGAAGGTTTAAGTTTTGCGCATTCTACTTACCGATGTAGAAAAGTAAAAAGAAACAAGAATGTGGAGGAGGAGGAGAAGGAGGAGGAGAGGGGGGGGGAAGTTAAAAGGGATTGAAAGAGGGAAAGGTCGAGTGCAAAATGTCTAGCAAAGTGTTCTAACCGATGACCAATGAACGAGAAAACTTTTTGATGATAAATCACAAGGAAATAGGAGTAATCGTTTCTTCAATCGTTCTTTTTATTTTGTACTTTGTCTCTTTGTTCAATCTTTTATTTTTCCATTAGAATATTTAAATTCTTATCTACGAACTTACAATACGGAATGCGACGTGTTCGAAGAGTATCCTTCGATGACTCACCGATCCTATCGAAGGAGTCGAGATATCCAGTTTGTAATAAGCTTCAGAAGAAGGTTTCTCAAAAGAAGCTTATACTCGAGTTTCCTTTCTTCAGAAAGAAATGAAAAAAGAAGAATGAGGCAAAGAGAAGGAAAACAAGATTTATTGAATTTCCCTCACCCCCCACCTACACCTCCCCTCAATGTAGTATACCTATAGTTGCATCTATCTTTGTAAAAAAAAAAAAAGATAATAAAATTTAAACATTAACTCGTTACTATGATAAAGTGTTAATTAGATGCAAAAGAATTGTTTCGAATTATTTTTAATAAAATTTCAGAGATGAGTATTTTGATGAAAATATTTGGAAGAAATCGTTAGTGAATTTGTATGAATAAAATGAATATATAATAAATATTTTTAAAATGTTGGTTATAAAGAAAAATGAAACAGGGTTTAAAAAATGTCTCGTTTGTATGTATATTAGACGTTAGATATTCCATTGAAAGTAAATACGACAGGTACATGGATATGCCATCAACCGAACCTACTTCAAAGTGATTTGAAATCCTTGCTCCGATTGATTTGAATAAATAAATCGAGTTAGGTAGAGAAACGATCGTAGGGAAAATTTCTTCTTATATCATTGACGAGAAAGAAAGAAAGAAAGAAAGAAAGAAGGAGAGAGAATAATAATACCAATCCATTTTATCGTTTTAACTTTACTTTCTTTTGTCTTTTGAAAAATCTATTTCCTTCTTCTAATTGCATCATTAAAAATTTATTACCACCGATAGAAAAAAATAATACTATAAAATGAAACAATTCGATCTGCTTCAAAATCAATTATTATACGAATGAACGAACGAACGAACGAATAAATGAAAAAAAAAAAAAAGAAAAAAATAGAAAAATCTTTGGAAAAGGAAAGAATAGTATCTTATATATCGATTTGTATTATCTACGTAAAGTACATTGCTTTTCTTTGGGATTTGAAAATCGATTTGTTAAAAACGTTTTTTAAGAGTACGAAGATCGTCTCTTGATGGAGAATAATAGAAAGGTAGAATCGTATCTCTTATGTGTTTGTACGATCAAGATCAGAAGTGAATGGTAAATTCTTGAATAAATACGTTCGATTGTAAAGTCAACTTTGAACACAACTTTCTCACGGTCGGAAAGCGATATGTGTTCGTTTTCTCGTACGTACTGGTGGCACCTATCGATCTCACCATTCTTATAAAGTCAAGTAGAAGAACGTAAAAACAAGGACATTCTTCGAATTCAAGATAAAATTTATTACTACATTGGAAAATTTAGACCGACTTTATATATATTTATTTTACTATAAATATATATATACGATACTTGTTAATATCGTATAATATAAAAATAAAATTATAAATCTACTTTATTTAATCAAACAATAAATAAATTAATATAAAATACCATAATAATACAATAAGTAAATTATTATTTTTAAAATGTTCTACTATAAATTAACAATTAATTATAATAACATATAAAAATTAATATCGAATGTAAAATCAGTTCAACAGTTAAATCCACTGTTCTGCCACAATACAAAAATAAAATATTATTTTCTCTTTATTAAAATTTCATTTTGAAATATAAAATAATTTAAATAAATAAATAATTATTCAAACAAAGTGTAACGCGTTTAAACAGATATAAGAAATGTTCTCCAATTGATATTTATGTATCAAGACCTAATGAATTAAAGTTTGAAAGTGTTTAAAACTCGAGTTTTAAACAATTTAGATGAAAAGTTTGTTAGGAACTTCAACCCTTACGATATATTATATGTATATGTCTGATGTTGTTCGTATTTCTTGGATGTTGAGTTTTCTTCGTAATTAAACACAGACAGATAAGTCAAAGTATCTTTGGCTAGAATCAAAGTTACGATATTACCAAGAACAGTGACATTCGTGACCAGCATCCTCGGTGGATGTGTATTCACTTGACAGATGTACAAGCCATGGTCTTCCCTCTGCACACCAGAGATCACTAGTCTCCAGTTATTCGGATACTGGAAACTGACGTTGTATCTTGTACCGGAAATGTGAGTCGTATTACCAAGAGTTAGAAGTGAGCTCCATTCGTCGTTTCGACGAACCCACATGACCTGCGATCGAAATATATAATATCGGTTTACATACTCGAACTCGAATTATACATGAATACATCTTATTGAATTCTCATACAACCTTAATATTAAATTATATTGACCGATATTATTCTATAAATGTATTTAAATCAATTCCGATTATCTCGTTCACCATTTCTTTCATATTTTTAATAACAATAATATCCAATAATGTATTATAATACTGTAACTTCATTTTAATTAAATACAAATCTCTTTACTTAACACATTTACATTTTTCTTATTGTATTATTTATAATATAATTTATTTTTATGAATATACTAACTTGTCTTCCGGAAAGCATAGCGACGCGACAATCTAAGAAAGCCGTAGCACCCAAATGCAATGCCACGTTTTGTGTTCCATTGATTCCTTGTCCTTCCGCATTTTCAAAATAAGGGTCCCAATCGGTGACACGGTGATGCCTCAAACGAGGTATAATAAATGGTGGTAATACAGCAGACATTTCTTCTGAAATTCATTCACGAAGAAACAAATTATATAACAATATGTAAATATTGGTAGAGGGATTTAATTAATTCATTTACGAGTACGTATTTATTCGTTTAATTTTTTAATGAAAACATTTTGATCATAGACGATTTATTTAGAATAGTTACACGTAAGTATTTCATTCAAAATTACAATGTGCATTACGATTCCCTTTTACTCGTTTGCCTATCCTTTATCTATTTCTCTCTCTCTCTCTTTCTATATATATATATATATATGTCTTTCTTCCTCTCGTAATGTTCCAAACAATAAGGGATAACGGAACCATCCACTGTCTGGGTATACGAGTAAAGCCTCGATCTAATTTCTCTGAGAGCACAATTTCAGTAAGATTTTCACGTAAGCCATAGACATATGTCTTGCGTGGGAATGTTGCACGCGTAGGGAGGGGGAAGGGGCCATCCTCCTTTACAAAAATACTCCGAAAATACATCTACACGTACATACTATTCGTATATAAATTAGTATAGAATTGTTTAAGACTGAAAATCCTAATTTCATTTTGTTAAATATTAATTTGAAGTTGTTCGTTCAGTAACAAGTAAAACACGATGAATTATTTCAAGTTATATAAATGTATGTAAGTATGAATGAACATTCATTTGTTTTTTGAAATTTGTAATTATATTATAAGATATTTTTCTTAACGTTGAACTTAATAAATTATGAAAATTCGGATCATTTATTTTTATAATTCATACTAATTTTATTAATTAAGATATAATATTATTACTCTTTCCTTTTAAATTTTTATTCTGAGGTACGTTTACTCAAGACTCTCTGTTTTAATCTCAGTTATCTTCTCTCTCTCTCTCTCTCTCTCTCTCTCTCTGCTGGTCTACTTCAGATTCCCCTAATTTCATTCGCAATCTTAATATACATATATATGTTACTGTGAAAGACTTTAATTGGAAAATGTCAAGATTCACATGATGAATGTTAACACGTAACAAATACGTAGACGAAAGATCGAATATTTGGATTTATTCTTATACATTAATATTTCGAACATACTTCACAAGAGACCATGTGAATCTTGATATTCTCCAATTTCGGTCTTTCATGATAACATATATACACTTCTATAAACAAATGGATATCGTCATCAATATCGATCGATGCATTTCAACCATGCATCAACAAACACTATTAACTAACTCTACAATATTCTATACATTGTTCAGCTGTCGATTTCACATACACACACACACACAATTAACTAACGTCAGAACCACCTTCTATATTTTTCTTTCAACTGTCGATCAACTTATCTTATACACCTACGTACTCAACTAATAATTATTACCTGAATCTTCAATAATACTCTTTCAGTTGTCAATTAATTAATCTCATATACTTACAAGAATACATACTAATTATTACATGAAAATTTCTATACTAGTATTTCAGTTGTCAATCGATATATCTCACATTTGAATAATGTTAAAATCTTTTATGATGAATAAAAATATAAAAGTGTTGATTTTAATTTTATTGTTGATTTATTATAAAGTAAATCAATCGAAATTAATATAAGTAAATTAGCGTAATATTTTTTACGTAAAAAATCCCATCGAATATTTTACCTTCTATATGTTAGTTTATTACCGTAGAAAATAAATGTATTTCAATGAAAATAAGAAAAAAGGAATTGTAAAAGGGAAAATTTATAATGGAGAATTTAATATCGATCAAATCGATTGAAAATTAACGTACGTAATTAGCGTGACAAAGGGAAAGGAAGAGAGTAAAATAGGAAGAGGGACACATACACACACACACACACACACACACAAAGAGGGTATCTTCTTTTGATAAGAGCAGGTGCAGCCTCTTCCGAGTCAACGCGGAGCAATATCCGTCTGAGAGCGTGGTATGGGGTGGTTGAAAAAAAGTCGAACTCTTGGAACGCTCGAGATTGTTCGTAAAGAGGTGAGAGAGATACTCGACTTGGTTGGTTGGTTGGTTGGTTGGTTGGTTCGTTGGTTGAAGCAAGGAAGAGATAGATATCGTATATAAAAAGAGACAGAAAACGTAGGTGTAAAATGTCGAAACGAAACAAAAAAAAAAAGAAATTAAAAGAAAATAAGAAAGAAAGAAAATGAAAATAAAAAAAAAGAGAAAGAGAAAGAGAAAAATGAAGTTCTTCTAAATTAACTTCAAAATTGAGTAATGTCTCTCTCTCTCTCTCTCTCTCTCTCTTTCTATTCCTATAGCAGTAATTGTTAACTGTCTATTAAATATTCGAAAGTTTTAAAGAGAATATATATTTTGCTTCGTTTTCGTTAAATGCGAGATGAGTTCAAAGGGTGGAAAAAGTTAAGTGGACTTCTAAAATACTGGGAATGAACTCAATTGGATATAAACAAGCGTGTAAAAGTGCTTCTTCTATCTCTTTCTCTTTCTCTTTCATTTCGTTTGAACTCGTTCGCGAAAAGCCCTTTTCCAAATAGGGTCCCTAACATCTCGAGGTTACTAACAAATTGTTTGGGGGTTTCTTGAATAATAAAAAAGGGGAAACTTGCTTTTTATTCCAGTAACTTTCTCTCAGATGTCTTATTTGTTGGCTGTTCTTCTTGTAAACATCTTCTTTCATCGTTTATTTTTGTTTCTTCTTTTTTTTTTTGAACATTGATGAATCTTACAAAGTGTCATCTCGTCGTGGCATTTGATTTATAAAGGTTCTTCTTCTTGTTTTACGATAGATCGATCACTTTTCGGATATTGGTTTCTGATTTTCTTCAGGGATGACTATATTTATTATTATAAACGACAGTCATATTATAAACATTACAAATGATGTTCATCGTAATCATAAAAATATAATCTATTATATGATGTTATCGTTCAAATAATTTTGATGACATTTTATTAAATTTAATCAAGATCATTTTACTATCTAACTAACAATAAATGCACACACACAATGAATTTAATTTAATTTTAAACGAGATCAGAAATCAAGAAATCGAAAGCTAACCAATTGATTTCTTATACGAACGATTCCTACCTACGAGCTTGAATGAACAATAATCAATGACCTGATTTTAAATAATGCACAATTGTTAGAAAAAGTATATCTATATATATTCTATAGGTTTCTAATGTAAGTAAGTTGATAATGTAAGTAAGTTAGTATATACGAGGACATTGTAGATGCCAAGAATTTCTCTTGAATTTCATCCTCTATGTAAGAAAGTCTTTCTAACGTTAGAATCTTTCGAATTTGCAAACGAGTAAGCAAAGCACTTTTTATTAATTTTCTCGTAGATATTCGTCTAGGTCAATCTATCGTTTTATATTACTTTTTTAAAGTATACTTTATACATCTTCGAGATAGATAAAAGATATTGTACGATATCTTTTAGATAAATCAAATGGAACATTGTAATATCGTACGATTTGTAGAATTACAAAAAAAAAACTATGTTATAAGATAAAAAAAAAAAAAGAACAAAAAATCGTAGAGAGGAGGATTTTATTAAATTTTACAACCGTTACTTCACATTTTGCAGCCTGCGTATTGGTAAAACGGGATGAACGACTAAAATGAACCATAACGATGATAAGCGTCATTTGCAACGTTCAACGTGAAAAATTGTACGAGTACTCGATATTGCCAATGCTGCAAATGGAACAAGGATATTAACTAATTGATTCGTTTGATCTTCTTTTTGCAAACTCTCTATCTCTCTCTCTCTCTGTGTTATTTTGTTCATTTTTTTAGTTTCTTCCTTTTTCTAAAAAAAAAAAAAAAAAATAAATATTTCTTTTTTCTTATTTAAGTTCATTTCCCATTTTTCTTTTCTTTTTTTTTTTTCAAGAGAGAAAAGTGTGCCCTTCAACTATTACATCATATTTGCATTTTACCACTAAATGAGGTTCGCTAAAAACGAGCTAAAAGATATTTCAATTTAGAGACGGAGATAAAACTACGTGGCTTTTCTTAGTGTGAAGATATGAATATTAAAGAGAACGCATGAAAATGTTTTTCACGATTATCCCATAGAAAAAGAATGTCTTATATATTTTATTTTATTTTATTTTACACATTTTCACTTTTATTCTTTCACGTACATAGATACACACACACACACATACGTTAAATTTAGAATCGATCGTTAAAGAGATAAAATGTTCGTTCGAACGATCGATTCTTCTATGTCTCGTTGAAAAAGAAAAGAAAATGACTTATCCTTTGGGTGATACGATTTTTGTTGTCAGTGTTTTTGGTTCAATGGATAAAAAACCTTAACGTCCTCGACAAAGTATAGTTTTATGTCTTTGCCTTCGGCTTGGTCTATCCTATCACCTTGGAATCCTCTTCCTTTCGATCTACGGTCTAGATCGTTCTATGAACTAAAGAAAAGAGGTTGAGGATGAGGAGAATCCAGTAACTAGACACTTTCTAGTTTAACCAACCACTAAACTCGATAGTAGTGAACTCAGAGATCTCGTTTGAGTTGGTTCTATCGAATCGTTGACAATATCTGAAATATCCATAACTATAAACTTTTATATAATATATCAATTTTTTAACGATACTTTTAACATTCGAACTATCGATAATCAAAATAGATAATGTGTATCAAAATATTAAAGTTAGATTATTATAAAATGTTTTATGGTTTCATTTTCGTAAAATATTTTACAATTTTGGTGTATATTTCAATTCGCGTACGTCTTTGTATATAATATATTAATTTTTAATGACACTTTTTAAAAATATTTTATCTATCGATAAACAAAGTAGATAATGTGTATCAAAATATTAAAGTTAGATTATTACTAAATTTTTGATCGTTTCATTTTCGTACAAAATTTTCTAATTTTTATCTATATTTTAATTCGTAGGTTTCTTCTGGTTTAAAGTATATTTTTTTCTAATCAACTTAGGACTCTGATTTATTTTAATTAATATTCGCGCGTTACCATTTGCTGAGTAATTTTTGAAAACG